GGCCATTTCCTGTTTATGAATCACTTCACGTTTTACGATGCAATAATCGTAGCCGACTCTGCTTCTCTGACTCTAACCGCTACTCTAGACCTTATGCGGCTAATAAAACACCTTAAATTAAATGTCCCTGTGATAATAGGCCCGTCGGGGAACAGCTGTTTCCAGGGGGATGACAGCTCCCGGCTGTCCGCACCCCGTTGCTGGCTGTTTGATGGATCTTGTCTTGGATTCCTGAAATTCCATGAATTTCTCGCTGAGTCGCCCTTTTGTGTCTTGCAAACTCCGTAAGTGCCCTTTAGCAGTTGTATAGATAAGACGCCAGCAACTTTCGCTTACAGTAGTCCTCTAGCTACTGCTGGCGGGAATTTTTGCGCTGCGGCTGTACAGCTTAGCTCTTGCAAACTGGTTGTAGGCGTGGCCTGGGATTATTTAATTCTATTTTTGTCAGACAGTAGCTATTCCACAAAGAAAACTTGTGCTGTACCCTGACTATAGCGCTCTGTTCATGTTGTCGCATCCTCGCCATGCTTTACCTGCTTATCGATCGGAATTGTGTGGGAATTCAATCACTGTTCATTCACTATAACAATGTATAGACATGCAGAATCGAGTCTCGCTGTCTCTTACAGTATCCCTAGGCTAGTAATGATAAGATTTCTTTGCAGTGACAATTTTTAAAATATTTTGCACTGTGGTAGTACTTGAAATCACTATACTAGTTAGTTATGACTGGATCTATGAAAAGATGTCCTTTTTTCGTTTTTTTTCAAAAATTTTTTCGCTTCTTTTTTTCTGCTAATATTTATCTTGTGTAATCCACGGATTATAAGAATTTTTGAAAATTTGAGTTTAAAAAATTGAAAGCTGGTCATTCTTAGTAATCAATTTTCAGCGTTATTTACTATTTTATTGATTTCACTTGATATTTATTGATTTTCTATAGCATATTTTGTGTTGGAAAGGAGAGTTTTAATGCGTTATTGTTATTTTCTAAAGATTTTTTCGTTGATTTATTTTTATTCTATTGATTTTTGCGTTTAAATTTTTAAACCTTTTCCAGCGAAAATTTGCTTTGGATCTCTTTTTGGCTTTGCTGCCTTCGCAAAAATTGCCTACTGAAGGTGGAAGAACTCAATATTCTGAAAAAATCAGTTAGAAGCTGGTAGATTTTCCACTTCTGACTGGACTTGTAGTTTGGAATTCGAATTATTCCAATTTTTAAATTTTTTATTCCACTTTTAAAATTTGACTTTTTCGGAATCACTGTTGGCAGGTGTTCTTCAAACTGAAACAAAGTTCCAGCATTTTTGAATGTTTATCAATCTAAGCTTCTGCTGTTTTGAGGAAAAATTTCAAAATTTTATTTCAAATTTATTATTTTTCGAAGAAAAAATATCCAGCATATGTCTTTTTCTCCTACGGGATAATTCTCCGGGTATTTCCACGCCTTTGCTCCAGTAGCTGTGGTTTTTCTTAAGTTTCTATTCTATTGCTCTTTTTATCGTCCATTCCGTGTCCTTTCGCTCCATCGTCCCAGCATATCTCATCTATCTTCGTATAACGTCGGAAAAAGCTTCACATCGATTTTTTCTGCAACTGCTGTTATTTTATCTATTGTAAAATCAGTGTACTAGATGTCCTTCGACGCTTTTTGCTCGCTGCTGGCAGGTGTGCCGCTCGGGCGGCAGTTTGCTGTTCGTGAATTTCAGTTTGATGTGATTTTTCTTAAAAATTGGAGCTCCTTCGTAGTTTATTAAGTATTATAGGTGGTAATGACTATAGTAATGTCGAAAATACCGGCGGTAATCCATTCTTTTGAAAATTTGGGAATTATAGGTTATTTTTTATCTGTTACTTAAAAATTCTCGTTTCAGCTTGTGAATATATGAAATCACGGAAGGATGGTTCGGTATCTGGTTGTTTGAGAATAAAGGTTATTCCAGAGGCTTTAAAAGGCTAAGCTTTCCAGACCACCGGTTACTCGTATCATTAAGAAAATTTCCAGCTAGAGAAAGAAATTTTCTTGAGAGTCACAACTAGCTTGATTTAAAGTAGCCATTTCCCAAATAGCGTTTTGAGCTGAATAATGTGGAAGAAAATTAAAATTCAAAGGAAAAATCGCCACCGGGGTCGAACCCTGGTCTTTTGGCATAAGAGGCTGGAGCACTACCACTGCGCTATGGCATTGCAGGAGTTGGGGGCACCTCTGTATTCACGTCTTGTTGGTTTGTATAGCTGATTCTTCCACACAGAAGAGCTTTAACTGGGAAGATTAAAAATTTATTACGCACTCCTTCAGGTTATAGAGCTTTATATCAATTTACTTTTACCGCTTAAGCTGAAATCCAGAAAACATGGTTTGAAAAAGGCTCCTTTTTTTAAACATAAAGCCAGTTTTTTTGGAATAATAAGGATTACCGTTTATTTGAAGTATACTCTACTTCTCATCTTCTCGAAACAATTTTGAGGTTCGGTTCAGCGCTTAAACTCCTTGTTTTAATTGTGCGAGTATTTTTACCCAGCTGCTAGGTTACTTCTGCCTATACGGAGTTTTCTAGATGGTTCTTGCACCCTTTTTGAGTAAGCACCGCCCACTCCCTGCCTATTGTTCTTTTTTTGAATTTGAGCTGCTTATGTCCGATTTGCATATCTAAGGCTGTTTTGAAGAATGGCCAAAGAGGAAAGGATCCTTAATCACTGGTAAATGAACCGTGGGCTATCGGTGATAAATGAGTGCATAGTTGTAAATATAGGTAAATATAAGGAAAATCGATATCTCGAAAGTGCAATGGAATCAAAAGATGCGCTCAGATGCAATATTGCTCATAATTATGGTAAAAGAAACGCCTTTGCACGGAAAAGAGCGTCGAGAAGCGTCGCATCCAGATAACTTTCTCAAAAAGTAATCTTTTACGCTATTGGTACCAGATTCGTGTGGAAAAACTCTAGACGAATTCTCAGCTTACAGTAGCTCCAAATTTGGGCAACTCTGGAGTAAAATATGCATAGATTAATTTAAAAAAAGGTCGACGTGTTAGTTCTTGCCAAAACCTTGTCTGAACTCGTGATGGGCACAATTTTTAAAAAATTTAATTTTGCATGTAACCCGTAAATTAAAAGCTTAAATTTGGTGGCGGCTAATAGCATTCAATTCATCTCTCATCTTCAGTGTTTTCAAAATCATAAAAAATCAATTTTTGGAGAATTTACTTGGTTGCGACGGTTCGCGACTGACTTTTTCGTTCAAACCCGTTTTTTCTGCAGTTATTATGAGCAGGACTGTATATTCGGTCGGTGAGAACGCTGTACGACTGTCTCGTCTTCTTTCGTCAGCAGCACCACCAAGAAAAAGTCTATTACATACTTTCGGTTCTTCATAAGAGCTTTTATTGATCGTTATTGATTTTATTTCCAATTATTTTAAATAACTTGCGTTCAACTTTTACTACTTGAATGCTTCGCCTGGTTTTTTTCTCTTACTTTTTCAAAAAATTTTCTTAGCTTCATCCTTGCGTACAAGCCTTGTCTGGTCTACAGATTAGTTATTTCGCTGGTGAAAAAGTATGGACTGTCATATTAAAAAAAACTCTCGCTACATCTAGAACATTCTTGTGAATATTAAAAATCGATATTTTGAGGCTAGCGATTGAATTACTCGGTAGAAATGTTTACTTTTTAAAAATATTATTATTTTGGCCCGCTTACCTGTATTCTTTTTCGCGGACCAAGACCAGTGAGATGGGCGGAGTCAGGCTGTCGTACATGCCCAAACTGATGAAAATCAGGTTAATTTCCGCTGTTTTAGCCGGTATGGGCACAAGCGGGTGCCTGGCCCCGCCCACCTCACTGATCTTAGTTCGCGGAAAGAATGTTAACTTTTTCTCGACGTGTTATACCCGCATGCACGTGTTTAAACATGTCTTGCGTAGATCGCGCTATTTTAGCGGAGGCGCGCGGTCTGCGTTGCGTGTTCGGACGGAAGGGAGCTTATGAATTTCATTGCATTTACGATTACGTTTATTCGGGCGTGCTTAAACATTAAAATTTCGATTTGGCGGGAAAATTAAAGATCGATTTTCTGACAATATTAGAAATTATGCCCGTTTTTTGCTATGCAGACAACCAAACTTACAGTTACTCTGCGTCTCTAACCCTCCACTTTCTAGTGACTGTTTGTATTCTATCTGAAATATGTTATCTCCCTTCACCATCTCCCTGCATGCGTTGCGTTCCCTCCAAGCCCTGAAGTCCGTAAGGTAAACATCGCCCCAGAGTGTTTTTTATTATCAGCCCGAATAAACGATGATTCGTCAGCTGCGATGGGAATTTCATAGCGTTCAGGGTCGATAAAAAGTGTCTACAATCGCCTGTGGAATTCAAACATTTTGAGACGTCTCAGGAAGATCCTTGGAACTCCTTTCCCACTTTTTCCGCAAGAAATTTCCCATAGTACTGAAATTCCGGAACTTTCCGCTGAGAAAAG